AATCTAAGCAGATATGTGTGTGTTCGGTTCCCCCAAAGCATTTTGAAGTTATCTAGGGTTTTCAGCGGGTTTTTTTTCACTAGTGCATTGGGTAATCAAATTCATTTAACAAACAGCATACACATTTCGTTCGTGCTCTGTCTTTTCTCTTATTAATATCTTTTAAATATTTGCCTATTTATCTAATCACACACAAATATACCTACAATACTTATTAAATTGCTTAAATTGCATTAATAGCCACGCATTCTTACCTTGAAACTATCTTTTGTTTTGCTTTCTTTTGCTCATTAATTTATTCAGCCATTATATTTCTGATTTCTCCTCATTTTACAAATGATTCCCATTAGCTGATTTTCGTTTCCTAATGACAGGAACACCTACTTTTCTTCGCCTAATGCTAAGATGAACGTATTTGGGGTGAACAGGACACTGGTACAATATCAAGGCTGGAAGCAGTATTTTCAAGCTACAAACTGCAGGTAAAGAAATAGGGCAAAATGGTATTCCAAACCCGAACCTTCTGACCTATAGATCAGAATCCAAGAGAAATAATTTGATTTAAAGCTGTTTGCATTCATTTTCATAATCTGCAAGAATACAGCATAAACTAGAATCGGAAAAACCTGACTAAATAGAACCAAACTCAAGTGAACGAGTAGAGAACAAGAAATCTAGATGAGACTAAACCTTACAACATTGTACTAAACTAAAACACTGATTTGGCTACAGTATGCTGCATTAAACAAGATATGAAATTGACCAGCTGGATTAAACTTGAGAAGATAATACTTGAATGTAGCATACTGGACTGCACCATACATGTCAGCATTCGACTTGAGTATACTAATGTTTTAAATGAGGATAAAATCATATGCTACACTGGATTAAAGTCGGGAATACTTTTCTTGATTACATTATACTAGCCTTTGCAACAGAATATTCATGTAAATTGACTGGGTAGAAATTTTGTTGATTGTCTTGCTGAGACAGGACAGCAAATCAAAATTGGTCTTGCCTTACAACATAAAAAGTATTGAGTTAATAGCTTATTTATGGAAAATATTTTCAATTTCATTTTTTAAATGTAAGCAATGTTGAAAATTTCAATGTTTTAAACTTTGTAAATTGTTCTACTTTTGCAACATGATTGAAATATTGTTAATTTGCCCCACTATTATTTATTAAATTAATTAATAGATACATCTAGCTAAATACAAACACAATTTTTCCTTTTCAGTAGTGTTTTGGGTTGCACGGGATGCATATGCATCCAAGATCGATCGATACAGACCGCTGTTGTCGTCAAAGCAGGTGTGACGTCACCAGATGATGTAGACGATTTTGAAATTAGCTTTTTCTATTTCGACGGATGCTGTACGTGCAGAAATACATAAGGGGATATTGAGAGTTTGCTCAGATACTTCTGATAAGCAAAACGTATGGGAGCTTCATACAGATTTTCGGTTGCATGCTACACATAGACAGCAAAAGCATGTTATTTATGAATGAGGAATAGTTTATTGTCTTGTTCAGTTTAAATGATGCAGCATGATGCGAAGTATGAGTAAATATTATTTTTCTTGACTGAGTATATGCACTGAATGCCTTCATTTTCGTAAGAAAATTGGTAAATCAGTCAGGTTCATATTTATCTTTTAATAATGACACAATTCACACACACACACAGATATATATATATATATATATATATATATATATATATATATATATATATATATATATATATATATATATATATATATATATATATATATATATATATATATATATCATATACTACATTTGGACCAAACGAGAGAGAGAGAGAGAGAGAGAGAGAGAGAGAGAGAGAGAGAGAGAGAGAGAGAGAGAGAGAGAGAGAGAGAGAGAGAGAGAGAGAGAGAGAGAGAGAGAGAGAGCATTTTATGGCATTTTTCGTATATAGTATGTATGCATAATCATACCGTACTGTGATATTCACTGTTCTTAGCAATATATCGCTTCTTGGCAATTGGATGAAACATGAGCACATGAAAAAATTTCAAAAAGTTTTCAAAACGTTTTTTCCACTTTCCAACGCTTTTCTCTTGCGACATAAAACTAACAGATTCAAATTAACATAACCAGACAGAGATGACATACTAACAATTTTTCTCTTAGTCTTATTTTATAAGTGATAAGTGCAAAACATTAAAATATGTATATAGAATATTTTATTTCTATATTTGAAAGTTTTTATGCTTCTTAGTTATTTTAATTTAAAATTAATTTAAACTTTTATGAAATATGTATGTTTGTGTTGTGTCTTCTTCATAAGGCTAGATATAATTCCATGGGTGGAACAGCTGTCGGAAGAGGATTTAACTGTACATTTGGATATATCAATTTATAAAGACTGAAACTTTCGTAAATTGCAAACTTCGCTTTATAACCAAGGGAAGAAGTGTTTCAAGCTGTGAATGTGCAAATGGAAAGTTAATAAAATGTTTTATGATAGTACATCAATACGCAGCACAGTAGTCATCAAGACACATGTTTGCTATTGGTATTTTAAGCATTTTATTTCTTGGTAATGGAGATACCAAAACGACTAAAATGTATTCCGTAAGTCTAGAAATATGGATTAGTATGAAGATACTTCTTACTAATTTGACTTGTATGTAAATTTATACACATCCTGATATGACTGGTACGTAACTTTATACACATCTTGATTTGTCTTGTACGTAAATTTTTACACATCCTGATATGACTTGTACGTAAATTTATACACATCCTGATTTGACTTGTACGTAAATTTATACACATATTGATTTGACGTGTACGTAAATTTATACATCCGGATTTGATTTGTATGTAAATCTATACACATTATGATTTGACTTGTACGTAAATTTATTCACATCCTGATTCGACTTGTACGTAAATTTATACACATCATGATTTTAGCATGAGAATGTTAGAAATAGGAAGAGGTCTGCTTCTCTTTTGTTCACTCAGGGCTGAGAAAACAGACTTGTCCCACCTACATTTTCACTTATCCCAAAATTTCACTCTTTGCCTAGATTTGATGATATGCTTGCACTTATGTTTACATAAAAGAAACAAATATACTAAAGAAATCATTTGCAACAAATAGATATATTTAAAGGTTTTAAAAATTTACGATGATATCTTTTAATACTATTTACTGATCCTATATGGTAGATTCCATACTTTCATCTTCAAGAGCAGAAATGATTTTACTGGAATTGAGACTATAACTAACTTCTCTCATGGCTTTGTCTATTGACAGAGTTAAGTCCATTGTTCAAGAGTCTTTTTTATAGCTTGCAACTGTCCTTATGTTCGTTCCATTCTCATTTAATTTTAAAATGGGTTTTCTGGTTGAGTGTTGGCTATTTCCAACTAAAAGGATTTGCTGGCTATTGTCATGCATATATTATGCTGTAAGGCTTTATGAAGTTCAGAAGTGTCAGAACACATGTTTGATTAAACCCGGAATTTGTCAGTTCCATTTGCCAATACACCAGTTGAATGTTCAACCCATGCCGTTACGGGATATTGTTTATCATAGCTGTGAAATCATTCTCCTTCGCATTGAACGCAATTCGAGCATTTATATTATCTACATTGTCATTACGGAAAACCTTGCAAAGAAGAAATGGTTACATATTTTCGAAATCCAAAACTGCTTGTAACCACTTATGTCGATTGCATGAAGCTCGAGTCAGAATTCAAATGAAGTATGTATGTATGTATGTATGTATGTATGTATGTATGTATGTATGTATGTATGTATGTATGTATGTATGTATGTATGTATGTATGTATGTATGTATGTATGTATGTATTATTTAATTGATTGCCTGTTAGAGTTTTTTGTCATTGTATGCTATTGTAAGGTAACATTGTTTGCTGGACATTAGCTTGTCCAAAAATGAGTAAATTTCTGCTTGACCTGATTGACTTTATAATTGTTTTAATTTAATTTATGTAAATAACTAATAATAGCTTCATTATTCTCTATGTGTATGAGCTTATTAACAGAACTATTGTTCAGGTGAACAAGGAGTAAATATGTTGATTTGGGTTAGGGTTTTGAAGGTTCTTAAGTGAATTTTATAGACTATTGTGTTGTAAATAAACAAAGGCGCATTAGATGATTATATAAGGTTATTTTCAATTAGATCATGGTTGTTTTTAGAATATGTTAATTGTGAGCTGAGGTCTGCAGAAAATTATATTATCTTATGATAGTGAATATTTTACCAGCTGTGCTTCTCTAAGTTGTATTATGTTTTAAGCTAAATTTTATTTTCTTCAAATTATATAATTCAAACGATCATTTTCTCTGGACATACAAAAGCGCTCTGATAACATTATTGGATTAAGACATTTTGGAATATATACTGAATTGTAACCTGGAATAATATTTCTGTGATTCAACTAGAGACTGTTGACACATCACTACTTCGTAGGCTATAACAGACATACCATCGCCTTCAATTTTGGATCTCTTTGGGACTTTAAGTGAGTTTTATTCAGGAAGTTTTATGGTAGGGACTTGCGTCTTTAATTCTTGGATTAAGTTTTGCATTTCATTCGCATGATCGTAAATTCTTTTTTTTCTCATTTTTCAATTTATATTCTAGAAAATAAATTATATGTTAAATTTTACAAAAGCTTGTTGTCTTCTCTGTTTTCTGTTACATATTTTAAGAGCACAGATTCTTATGTAGGTATGTGTGTGTGAGTGTGTGAGATTTAGATTTTTAACGTAGCTTTTAACAGTTTTCAATCATATCGCTACAATGTCTGCTTTGTGACAGTTTATAGTGATGTCTAGCATTGGGGTATCATGCCGCAGATATGTGGCATAACGTCCCACCAAGTCACATTATCATGACACCATGCCGACCTGTTCTAATTCTAACTTCTTAATGCTGAGCGCCAAGCGAGGCAGCTGTTAGTACCATTTTTGAAAGTCTTTGATATGATTAGGCCGGGGACCGCACCCATGACCTCCCTCATCCGAGGCGGACGCTCTAACCACTAAGCCACCGGAGTGGTATGTATGTATGTATGTATGTATGTATGTATGTATGTATGTATGTATGTATGTATGTATGTATGTATGTATGTATGTATGTATGTATGTATGCATGCACGCACGCACGCACGCACGTACGTACGTACGTATGCATGTTTGTTCATTCTTGCAATTCTATTTAAATGACATACAACATCGTATAACTTAAGACTCATGGTCCTCACTGGGTATTTTAAATTGTAGTCCACAAAAAAACTATTTAATTAGAATGATTTTGGTTTCTTAATGGACGGATCCGAATCTATCAGGATGGTGACCAGGAAGGAATGATAAATGTGCGAGCGGATGAATAAAAAATGTGATAAGGTAGCTAATTGGTGTTGTGAGTAACGACAAGTATTATATATCCGGTTTTAGATTTGATCGGGCAGCAAAGCCTTACTCTCTCTCTCTCTCTCTCTCTCTCTCTCTCTCTCTCTCTCTCTCTCTCTCTCTCTCTCTCTCTCTGTCTCTCTCTCTCCTCTCTCTCTCTCATTTATATTTAATAATCCCAGAAAATGTAGAGCAGGAAAATGCAATTACCTGTAGTTGACTAAATGGCAATGCTCAAGTGTCCAATGTGTAATTTAGTTTTCAAAGATATAAAATGTATTATGTCCTAATTTCTTTGCATCCACACACATGTATACATACATACTTATATACACAGATTCATACATAGAAAGAAACGCAAACATAAGTTATAAGCATTGAGAATATACACTCTGTGGTCATATTCTCTGCCTCAGTGATGACCTTGAAAATGCTTTCAAAAACTTCTCTAAAAAATAGATTTATTACAATAATTTGAGAAAGGACCGTTACGATTTCAGACTTCAAATATATGTGATTTATCCTCTATATTAATAGGTATACCGACTTTGAAAATTGTATGCTGTGTATGATGACATACATTTGGAACATAGAAGTTTGCATTCGATATTTACTGAATGGTGGGTCAGAGGACAAAATATGTTACATCCCCCGAAATATACAATCAAAATTAGCACAGTTTTGGTTCAATCAAAATTCATTTTAAGCAAAATATTGTAATTTATTTGCTGCAGAGCATTTTCTGCATATATAAGATAATTAAAACGGTTACTTAACTCACATACAACCATCCAAAAGTTGAAAATTGCTTATTTACCGGCTGAACACATGTAAAAAAGTGCAAATAAATTCCAAGATTTTCAACACGACAACAGAAGCTCGAGAAATTTTCGAGCTCTCCGCAAATCTGAAAAGTCAGTGAAGAATCCGGATTTGGGACTTAATTCCGCAGGAGTGGCCCCTCTGTCGTGAGATCAATTGAATGTACAATGATGTACAAGAGAAGCAACTTATTTCAATCTGGTAAAACAAAGTCTTGCATAAATCCCATGCCAGATTCTCTACAAATGCTTCTGGGTACATACGGCTCGAGATAAATATCTTAATTCATTCTTGTTGAATGAATATATATATATATATATATATATATATATATATATATATATATATATATATATATATATATATATATATATATATATATATATATATATATATATTTGTATGCTATGTTGATAATGATTGATTCCTATATAATCAACTTTAATGTTAAAACCTAAGACACAATTTGAGAACCAGGATGAGTGTCAAAAGTTTATGTGCAGTACATTTGTAGTTATAAACAATCTAATACAGATCTTCACTACCAAGTCATCTTAAGGGAAATAGAAAATTCCATCAAAGTGTAAAAATATTTGGGTTCTGAAAATTCTAAGGTCTAAATCAGAGTTATATCCAGAACTCAAGCATAAGAAAAAAACTTTCCCTTACATGATATTAGACATGTAGGCCCAACTCCTACCCTCAATTATGGATAAAGTTGAATTACGTAATATAAATTAAGGGTGTATAGCATATAATCATAGACAAAATCCAGCCACAATAAAAATTAAATACACATAACAGTGGCCTCACCGAGTGCATTCTAGTCGATCAAATCATACATTGTCGACAATTATTAGGTGTCATTCTGTATGGAGTAGTGAATGCTGATAGTTATGAAATATACTTTATGGAGTATTGCAATGCTGACAATTAAAGTATCATAGTAGAGTATTGTAGTGTTGACAGTTATGACGCATCATGCTTCATTATTTGCTAATTTTTGTCTCTGACAACTTTACAATCTCAGTATCGTGCAGTAATTTACGATATTGCACACCTTCTTATTACACTGACATGCACAATAAGTGTGCCCAGAAGTGTATTAAGAACTACTTTGTAAACAAATCATGTACACTCATGTAGCTTTACATTTTGGATGATTAATTTGTTTCTGAATAAACTAATCAGATGGTTTGTGGACTGCCACATAGCAGCTGCTTTGACACATTACGTGTTAACTTTCTTGATATCATGTTTCGGATTTAGCTAGCGATAGACACCAGATAGGTCATACAATAGCTGGATCCCCGGATTTAGCTAGCGATAGACGCCAGATAGGTCATACAATAGCTGGATCCCCGGATTTAGCTAGCGATAGACGCCAGATAGGTCATACAATAGCTGGATCCCCGGATTTAGCTAGCGATAGACGCCAGATAGGTCATACAATAGCTGGATCCCCGGATTTAGCTAGCGATAGACGCCAGATAGGTCATACAATAGCTGGATCCCCGGATTTAGCTAGCGATAGACGCCAGATAGGTCATACAATAGCTGGATCTCCGGATTTAGCTAGCGATAGACGCCAGATAGGTCATACAATAGCTGGATCCCCGGATTTAGCTAGCGATAGACGCCAGATAGGTCATACAATAGCTGGATTCCCGGATTTAGCTAGCGATAGACGCCAGATAGGTCATACAATAGCTGGATCCCCGGATTTAGCTAGCGATAGACGCCAGATAGGTCATACAATAGCTGGATCCCCGGATTTAGTTAGCGATAGACGCCAGATAGGTCATACAATAGCTGGATCCCTACAAATAACATGCAAGTGGCAAAGCATAAACTGTCTTCTTTAGCTGGTAATAAGAACGGCAAAAAATAAATATACTTACATTTTTAAAAATTCTGAATTTCCTCAGAATATACTTTCTTAGTTCTGCAAGTCCAAATTACATCAGCCATGTCTTTGGTTTTAAAACTTGTTTACACATTACGAAATTTTACGGTAATTTCGACTATATTCCAAGTGCAATTACACCCTCATTACTGCACTCAAAATGAAATAAACGTTATATTCCATAGCGTCTTGTTGATAATTACAATCAGAAGACTTCATATTTGTCCCACATTATGATTCCAAACATTCAATGACAGAACAGAAACACACATGTGGATGTCAACACTCTGCTCCCTCGCTACTGAAATCAGATGTACTTCATGTAGAATTGACAGATAAATCCAGTCATTATCATGAAATTTAGCAGAATCAACAAAACTACCAAAATGCATTCATTCCAGACTAAATGGAAAAGGTGCCGCAATGTTCTTTCATTCACGATATGAATCCAAATTTCAATTTGTAGTTTACCAAAATGCCATTTTCTTTCGAAACGTGCGTCTAGCACACGACAAAAATCAAATTTATCAGGATGGAATTATGTCGCATTAATAATGTTGTTGTTGTGTACTGATGAATCTGCGTTTGTATATTTATCTTGGAATGCATCATAAATTCAATTACTTTGTTTTTTCTAATGTGCTTTTGTTTAAATAATAAAGCCGTAGGTAGAATAAGAAAATGAGCATATAATAAAAAATTACTGCATTTGTATGGGAAAATACGGATTCATTTTGTCCCATGGATATACTTCACTCCCAAAGTCGTAAAGTATATCTATCAGAACAATTCATTCATATTTTCCCATACAAATGCAGTAACTTACAAAGTTGACAATTAAACTATCATGCTATATGGAGTATTGAAGTGTTACCAGTTACGAAGTATCATTCCGTATGGAGTATTGCAGTGTTACCAGTTACAAAGTATCATTCCGTATGGAGTATTGAAGTGTTACCAGTTACGAAGTATCATTCATTCCGTATGGAGTATTGAAGTGTTGCCATTTAACATTTATGATACTTTATGAAGTGACCAAAAACCTGGCTAAAATATAAAAATGTACGCTCCTTGTATGAATTGCCACAAAATGGCGGGTTTAAGGACATGATGACAGAAAAATCAGAACAAAAGGAAACAATGACATCATTTTGTCTGTTCTTTACCAGACTCACTACTTGTTTATCTCTCAGCGATGAATATGGTTGAAAAATACTACTAGCACCCAAGCATTTGTATTACTTACGCATTTTATATTGTCGGGCAAAAGCACAAAGACAAATATTAAAACTGTTCATTTATGCAATCAAAATCATTCTTACCAGTTATTAGGAAGGCATCGTTTTGAGCATTTCCGGTTGCCAAGGGTTGTTCTACGTAGAGACTGTTTTGCAATCTAATTGGACACGACCGAAAGAAAAATATCTAGACTGATTACCTGTTCTTTATACCGATTAAGATTGAAAAAAATAATCGTTACTGCCTCTGCACCCAATAACATAATGACATATGTTCTAAAATTAAAACCGTTGAAATAAGTTTTTATTTTGAGTCAATGCATGTGGATATCATGTACATATAACTATACATACTGAAATCATAAAATGGTTAATTGATTGCGCTTGTTGCTGATAACAACACTTCATCTGCAAAGTACATTTGTTCAAAGTATTTTTTTGGGACATGACCAATGTGGATATAAGACTCAAGTCTACCAAAAATGGAATTTGAGCTTTATACCTTGCCATCATTTGTATAGACCTTTAAAATCCAGATCTTCGTATTGCGAAGATCTGAATGCGTCACGAGAGAGGTCCGTTTGAGCGAAACGAAATTCTGCCTGAGACTTTTAGGACTGATATGGTGTCAAGTTGGTTAAAAATCATTTCTTTTCCTGAATGGAAGACCAGTC